GAGACAGTTTTCACTGTCTCGCCCCTGCGAGACAGTATTTACTGTCTCGCCGTGCGAGACAGAATTTACTGTCTCGCACGTGAGACAGCTTTCAGATGGTCAAAACTACCTTTGTAACTGCCCTACACGTGGCCACTAACTGTTCAAGAACGTGGGAAACGTCGTGGGCGAGAATCACGTGGATAACTGCCAAAATAACGGAGTTTGAAACGTGGGAAAGCAGTTACATCGAAAACTGCCAGAAATGTAGACAGTATTTTACTGTCTCGCTGGGCGAGACAGCAAATTTACTGTCTCGCTGGGCGAGACAGCAAACACTGTCTCGACCAGCGAGACAGCAAACACTGTCTCGCCCGCCGAGACAGCAAATGCTGTCTCGCGAGCACGTTCATCCAGAGGGTTATAAATACCCCCCGAAGGCCATTTTCATAGGGGCGGCCAGCAGAGATCCAGGGCTGATCATTTTGAGCACTTGAGAGCAATCCAGAGCAGAGAGAGAGCAGAGGTGCTGATCTTACGGCCAATCCTTGATAATCAGGCTTTGACTTGATTTCAAGAAGAACGACTATCTTACATCGATAAGATATCGTTTCAATTTCTCACTTCGATAAACGAAGTCAGAATCATAAACCCCTCACGGTTCAATCAGAATCTGTGATTTGGTGGTCCACGAGTCAAAGCGCTCCCGGCACAGGCAAAGATCCCACGAAAGCAGTGATCCAAACAACGATCCTGCGTTTATTTTCTCAAGAGTTGTAATTTTCTTTTTGTTGTGTAAAAGAGTCTTATAAAAAGGCTGTTTTCTTTGAATTTATTGTAATCGACCGAAGATATAATGAATTCGACAACAGAACCAACTTTTGGCGAAAACAGTCAGCACCGGTGAGCTATTGATCAACGACTCCGTAACTGGTGTAGAGTTGTTTTGAGCAGGGACGTTGCAAGGAGATTCCTTAACAACGATCGAGCAAGAATCTTTGTCTGCGGTCTCCGTTGGAATTGCAGACTTGAAAGTTTTCGAAATCTTCCTATATTTGCGAGACGAGGAAGATTTCGCGGAGGAGGATGACAAGTACTCCTCAAACTTCGCCTGATCGAATTCGTATTCGATCTCTTCATTGATGATGATCTTGATCGGTTGCGACACCGCGGTCTCGGCAGCGAGACCGCTGGCTCCCACTGTGGTCGCCAGCTTGTTTGAGTCAAAAGTCGGTTCTGTTGAGGAATTCATTATAACTTTGTTTGATTACAACAAATTCGGAAGAATGATCTTTTTATAAGACTTTTTCTACACAACAAAGCGAAAATTACAACTTTTGAGAAACAAACACAAAAATCGTCTATCGATCTTTGTTTTCGTGGGACTTTGCCTGTGCCGGGAACGCTTTGGTTCGTGGACCGCCGAATCACAGATCGTGAAGAGGGGGTTGACTGATTCTGACTTTGTTTATCGAAGTGAGAAATTGAAACGATATCTTATCGAAGTAAGATAGTCGTTCTTCTTAAAATCAAGTCAAAGCTTAATTTCAAGGCGTTGCAAGAAAAGAACTCAAATCTGCTCTCTCTCTGCTCTGGAATGCTCTAACAAATGCTCGATCCTCGTCAGAAGTGACCCTAGGGGGGTATTTATAGCCTCAAGGGTCAGTAACTGCAAAAACTTAACAATCGAAGAAGTCAGTACGGCGAGACAGTGTTTACTGTCTCGCTGGGCGAGACAGCGTTTGCTGTCTCGACCCGCGAGACAGTAAATTTGCTGTCTCGCTCAGCGAGACAGTAAATGCTGTCTCGGAAAATGGCACTGGCGAGACAGCAAAGCCTGTCTGGCTGGCAAGACAGCAAAGCCTGTCTCGCTGGCGAGACAGTTCATACTTGTTTTGATTTTACCAAAAACAATATGAAATCCTTTCTTGTGATTTTTTTGAGTTATCTTCTCTATGTTTGGGATATCTATTAGCATTTTTTGACGCCTACACAGCAATCTCACCAAAATAAGGCAAACGATGATTTCAGGGAGTTCAATCGGGCTCAGATATGAATTTCTGACGAAGATGATCAGTTCAAAGTTAACTCAATGATACGAGATAAGTTCAGAAACTTACACATCAACTTCAATTCAAGATTTCGACAATGGTCAGACGATAACCGCAGCACCGGAAGAACTTCATCTATTCGACAAAACACTGAATAGACTAAAGGCTGAAGGAGTCAAGAATTGAAGCATTTCACAGGACTCTCTACGAGATCGAGGAAAGGGCCTATCCTATCCAAAGCATTCCAGACTCCCCTATAAAAGAACGAGTCTGAAATTCTTTGGAGGGGGTATCTTTAGGCGTCAAAAATTACCTATAGGTCCCCGAACACAGCTCGAGACGGAGAGAAGATGACGAACGTCGTTATCTGAGTCTAAGAGGATTATCTGACGCCGACAAGCGCCTGAAGCGAAACGGCGAATCAAGTGACCTACGCGCTCGACACTCAGCTCGCACCCGCCAATCAGCTCGCGTGTGTTAATCAACATGCGTGCGTCAATCATTTCATGTGCGTCGATCAACACACTCGTGACAGTCAGTTCGTGCACATCGGTCAACACGCGCACGTTAATCAGCTTGCACGCGTCGGTCAACACGCGCGCGTCAACCAATTCGTGCGCATGCGTCAATCAACACGCGTGCGTCAATCAACACGCGTACGTCAATCAACACGCGTTGGATGGTCGGTTCCGCAACGAAGCGTACAAGTCAATAAGACGATCAATCACGCAAAACGATGGAAAATAAAAATCTCGGAAGAGTCGGAAAACCAAAAAAAAAGTGTCAGACTTCGGAACCCGCGCCGATGCGGGACGGCCGAAACTAACCCGCACCAGCGCGTGTCGGCCCTAACCCGCACCAGCGCGGGTCGGCCAAGGCCGACCCGCGGCCTGGCGGGTCGGCCAAGGCCGACCCGCGCCCCCGCGGGTCAGCGCGACCCGACGCGCTGTTTTGACCCGAAAACCTGTTTTTCGACAGATTTGAGTGGATTTCTCAGGATTTATCTGTTCCAGGGGTTCCTAACTACCTAAATCATATCTCTAAATATTGTTAATCAGTTGTTAACTAAGGATGGAGCCAAATCACATGTTCTCATCCAAATAACCACTTCCGAAGCCCTATAAATACAAGCCTATGGCCTCCTTTCAGCGGGGCGGAGTTATTATCAAGACTTGGAGGTGCTGCCGGATTGAGGAGTCAAGGAGCACGAATTTTAGCAAAGGCAAATCAGATCCCAGTGAACTTCGGCATAAAGAAGGAGCTATTCGAAGGATGTGAACCCCGTCCGTCCGTCCCTTGAGATTAGGCTTGGTCTTAATCTCGAGAAGAGCCCTCATTTCGTTTGGTCGATTTCAGTGCTTCAAATCAAACATTCCCTCGGTGAAGGCGAAGCTCTGCCCAATTTTCCATCAACCGGATCCAGATCTAAGGTGGTCCACGGATAAACCCCGGCACAGGCAAAGATCACACGCAAGCAGAAGACCGATAAACGATCTCCCTGTGTTTGTTTGATAAAGTTGTAAACTTGTTTTATTTTTTATTGTGTAAGGAGATCTTATAAAAAGATTAACTTTTTATTTTATTTGAGTTTATTGTAACGACTAAAGTTGTAGTAGATTCGATAGTAATGAAAACAGCAACTTTCACCGCAAACAGTTACCACTGTTGAGCTTCTCAATATAGCTCACCGAGGTAGCAATATCCATCATGGTGACTTGGTAATATTATTTATTTCCCAAGTAAGCTTTGTACCTAACCAATTGGCTTCATAGTCCCAAACTATGCACTAGAGACGTCTCCACATACGTCGGTCCTCAAACATGTTTGCTCTGATACCAAATTGCCGGACATCGGAATGTGGTGGAAGCCCAAAAACTAAAACTCTTATTGATATATAAACAAGACGTGTACAAGATATAAATATTACTAGCACTCACGCAATGTGAACTTCTGACTTGCACTTACAAAGGAGAGCACTATAGCTCACGAGGACAGACTTCACACTCACTACACCTTGACTCTTGAGAACATGTATGTTTTGGGATAGTTACAAGTGAATGCTCATGACCCTTATTTATACTAGCAAGAAGTAGGCTAATGAAGCTTCTAGGGAATTAGAGAAACATGTCAAAAATGACACGAAGAGAATGGTCTAGAAAAAGAGAGAAGTGATGAGAAGGGAGTGAGAGATACCATCAGAGATATGGAGAAACTTAGAGAAAATTCTAGAAGAATGACTCTCCATGAGGAGTGAGAGAACTGGAGAATCTTTTAAAAGAATTCTCAAAAGGAGGTATTGATTGTTGGTTTCTAAACAGGATCGGCCAGAGATCAGATCTGAACTGAGTTAGAAAAACAGCAATCTACAAACCTGTAAACAGCAGCAAAACAGAGACCTGGCAGATTTTTAGAAAACGGACAGCAGCAGCAAGACAGAGAACTCAGGCTCTGTTTCGGATGGAGCAGGGAACTTTTTGATTTTTTTCACGTTCTCTTAAACTCATCAAAGTTGTTTACATATATATAAAGATATAGGGATAAGATTACAACTCTAATCTTTATCCAATAACTAGAAAAAACTATCCACTAACTAGTATTCTATTCTAACTAGAATTCTATCTACTAACTTGAACTCAACTAACAATCCGGACTGATTAACAACTCACATTCTCCCCCTTAATCTGGACGAGATTCCAAGTCCCTTACTCCTAGCAGCTCCCGCATCTCGATGAACTTTACCCTTGCTAGTGCCTTCGTGAGAATATCTGCTCGCTGCTCGCTCGTGCTTACGAACTCCACTTTAATCTGTCCTCGCTCAACACACTCACAAAATGAAGTGAAAACGTGTGTCGATATGCTTGCTTCTTCCATGGAAAACTGGATTCTTCATCAATGCAATCGCTGACTTGTTGTCGACGAAGAGAGTAACCGGCTTGGGCTCACTCCCAATCACCTCGCTGATTAAACTCCTCAACCACAAACCTTGGCACGCTTGCCTCGACCTCGTTTGTACACCAATCCGTAGGACATAGTACCCTTCACGTACCTCAAAATATGCTTGACAACCTGTCTATGCAAAACTGTAGGGTGCTCCATGTACCTACTCACAATCCCCACGGCATATGTGATATCAGGTCGAGTGTGAGTTAGATACCTTAAGCATCCGATAATGCGTCTATACTCAGTCACGTCCACTGGTGTTTCTTCAGAATCCTTTCCAAGCTTTAGCTTTGTTTCCATAGGATATTGGGTCGGGTTGCAATCCATCATGCCGAACTGACCCAAAACTTTCTTCGCATAGGTCGCCTGCCTTAGTGCAATACAATCATCTCGCTGATCCACCTCGATGCCAAGATAATAGGAAAGTAACCCTAGGTCACTCATCTCGAACTCCTTCATCATTTGTTGCTTGAAAAACTTTATCTCATCCGCCCTCGAGCCCGTAACGATCAAGTCATCTACGTACACGCCAACAATGAGTGTATCCCCTCTGTTACTCCTTGTGTATACCGCCTGCTCCTGAGTGCATCTTGCAAATCCGATGCCCTTCATGCACTTGTCGAGGTTCGTGTTCCATGCCCGAGGTGCTTAGCGTAGACCGTAGAGTGCCTTTGAAAGCTTGTAGACCTTGTGCTCTTGATTCTTCACAACGAACCCTTCAGGTTGAGCCACATACACTTCTTCCTGGAGATCACCATTTAGGAATGCCGACTTCACATCCAAATGGTGCACCTCCCACCCGTTCTGTGCTGATATAGCGAGGATTATTCTGATGGTATCAAGCCTCGCCACGGGTGCAAACACCTCATCGAAGTCCACGCCTTGCTGCTGGACGTACCCTTTTGCTACAAGTCTTGCTTTGTGCTTGAGAATGTTGCCTTCATTGTCCTTCTTCAGCTTGTACACCCATTTGAGACCAATGGGTTTGGAACCCCACGGTAACTCCGTGAGTACCCAAGTCTTGTTCTTCTCGATGGCCTCCATTTCCTTCTCCATGGCAGTCCGCCATTCTTGATCTGTTGCCGCCTCAATTGAGCTTGCGGTTCTTCAGTGATCAGTAACAACTCCTCTGCAGGGAGATCAATCACCTCCGTCTCCGCATAGATGTCCGCAAGGGATCGATAGCGTACAGGGGTCATCGCTGCTGCTTCAGGAGGTCCGGACAGTTCTGCAGCAGATCCTGAACCTGCAGCAGACAGTGGACTGTCTCGGCCAGCTGCAGGTGGTTTTGTTCGGTCTGAAAACTGCCCAGATTGGCCTCTCGTCGGCTCCAATACGGCGGGGATCGTTGCTGCAATTACTGTACTCGGACCAGCACCAATTTGTGGGCTGTTCTGGCCGGCTGCTGGCAGTCCAAACTGGACTTTCTGCTGTCCAGAAAACCGGACTGCCTGCTGTCCAGTTTGGACTGCAGGCGATGCACCGGCTGCTGCGCCGGCTGCTGTGCCGCCCGCTGTTGAGTCCCCTTCCGCTGCGAACTCTACCCAGCTGAGTGGTTCTACGTCTCCATCTGCGCTCCATTGCCATTCTTTTCCTTCCTCGAAGACGACATCCCTGCTGACACGTATTTTGCTATGTTGAGGGTCGTAGAGGCGATGCGCTTTGCTTCCTTCCTCTACTCCAATGTACACCATTGGCGTGCTCCGGTCGTCGAGTTTCTTGTGCGAAGGACCTGCAATCTTCACATGCGCCATACATCCAAAAACTCTCAAGTGTTCTAGGTGGGGTTTCTTACCAAACCAAGCTTCGTAGGGTGTGTGTGTCGACTTCACATCCAAATGGTGCACCTCCCACCCGTTCTGTGCTGATATAGCGAGGATTATTCTGATGGTATCAAGCCTCGCCACAGGTGCAAACACCTCATCGAAGTCCACGCCTTGCTGCTGGACGTACCCTTTTGCTACAAGTCTTGCTTTGTGCTTGAGAATGTTGCCTTCATTGTCCTTCTTCAGCTTGTACACCCATTTGAGACCAATGGGTTTGGAACCCCGCGGTAACTCCGTGAGTACCCAAGTTTTGTTCTTCTCGATGGCCTCCATTTCCTTCTCCATGGCAGTCCGCCATTCTTGATCTGTTGCCGCCTCAATTGAGCTTGCGGTTCTTCAGTGATCAGTAACAACTCCTCTGCAGGGAGATCAATCACCTCCGTCTCTGCATAGATGTCCGCAAGGGATCGATAGCGTACAGGAGTCATCACTACAGCTTCAGGAGGTTCGAATGCGTCCAAAACAGTGGGGTTTGCTGCCTCTGCAGTAGTTTCTGGACTGCTCCTGGTTCGGACTTGCCCCCAGCTACTAGTAGCGGTTGTGTTTGAAGTCACTTCGTTTCTGCGTCTTGCTGCTATGACTGCCTGCCCATCGGCATCACTGCCGGACAGTACCTGGTTTGTCGTCGCGCTGTTCCAGCACCTGAACTGCCATGGAGCCCATTGCTGCTCGCGCTGCTCATGCCTGGGCGCTGGAAGTTGCCTGCGCACCAGGATCTGCTGCGAGGCTGGTCTAGGCCCACCCCTTAGTGGCTATACCTTGAGGCAGTTTCGCCGTCTGTCCTATCATCTTTTTTAGTGACAGTTTCGGACCCTAGCTGCGGGAGCATGGGGGGGGGGGGGGGGTGGCACATTGCACCGCCTGTAGTGCCGACTGCTTTTGATTCCTCTTCCGCTGCGAACTCCACCCAGCTGGGTGGTTCTACATCTCCATCTGTGCTCCATTGCCATTCTTTTCCTTCCTCAAACACGACATCCCTGCTGACACGTATTTTGCTATGTTGAGGGTCGTAAAGGCGATGCGCTTTGCTTCCTTCCTCTACCCCAATATACACCATTGGCGTGCTCCGGTCATCGAGTTTCTTGTGAGAAGGACCTGCAATCTTCACATGCGCCATACATCCAAAAACTCTCAAGTGTTCTAGGTGGGGTTTCTTACCAAACCAAGCTTCGTAGGGTGTGTGATCGTGCAATGCCTTGGTTGGTAGTCGGTTGAGTATGTACACCGCATGTCTAACCACTTCGCCCCACATCGTTCCGGGCATATGCATGCTCTTAAGTAGGATTCTCGCCATGTCCATCACCGTGCGGTTACGCCTCTCCACTACACCGTTTTGCTGCGGGGTGTACGGTGCAGTGAGATGACGCTTGATGCCGTAGTCTTCACACAACTTTGTGAACTCCTTTGACAAGAATTCGCCACCACGATCCGTCCTCAATGTCTTCACCTTGTGGTCACATGCGTTCTCAACCTCTGTTTTGAACTTCTTGAAGGTTTCACAAGCTTGACTCTTGGCCTTCAACATGTATACCCACATCCATCGGCTGAAATCATCAACGATAAGAAGAAAGTAGTTGTTCCTAGCAAGTGTAGATGGGGTGATAGGACCACATAGGTCAGCATATAGTAACTCCAGCGGCTTCTGAGCTCTAAAATTTGCTTGCGAAGGGAACGGCAGTCTTGCTTGCTTGGCGACGAGGCATCCTTCGCATAGTTGATTCGGGTGCAAGATCTTCGGCAACCCGGAAGCCATCCTCTTATCAGTCATCATCTTGAGGGCGAAGAAATTGACATGCCCAAGGCGAGCATGCCATAACCAAGCTGGATCGTTAATGTTCGCCATCAAACACGCCGGCTTGCAAGTTTTTAACTCTATCCTGTACAATCGGTTAGTTGAACGTGTCACCCTCATCAAGAGAGCACCGTTCCTATCAAACACCCTCAGGAACTCGTCAGCAATAACAACCTTACTCCCATCTTCAGTCATCTGACCAAGGCTAATAATGTTAGATTTCAAACTTGGAATATAATATACCTCAGGTAGTAGCCTTTGATCGCCGTTGTTGCACTGAAAAAGGATAGAGCCTTTCCCCTTGATCTCTACCGCGGATCCATCACCAAACTTGACGGTTCCCTTGATGTTCTCGTCAAGCTCGTTGAACTTGTCTCGGTGGCCGGTCATGTGATTGCTAGCTCCGTTGTCAAGGTACCAAACGTCGTTGGCAACTTGTGCCTCCCCCGCTGTAAGTAAATCCGGCATCACCTTCTCCTCATTAAGCAAAATGACACTTGACGATTCCTCTAACATAGCCATCATCAAGGTTGGCTCCTCGTCATATGCACGGGTGAGATGAGCCTCCTGTTCATGGTTGCGGCGTTGCTTGTGACACTCCGACTGAAAGTGCCCGTATACTCCGCAATTGAAGCATTTGATGTTGGATTTGTCTCGACCACCGCTTGTGCTACTCTCCCCCTCCTGGCGAGCTGCACCTCCATGGCCGAAACCACCTCCTGGACGTCCTCCTCTGCCGCCGAAGCCGCCTCGGCCTGCCTGGCCGCCGTGCTCCCCTCCGCGGCCTCCGTGGTACTGCTGTCCGCTGCCGTCTCCTCGACCGCGACCTCGTCCGCTACCATCATTGGTTGTAGGTGTTGAGAGGAAGCCTCCGCCGTACTTCTTGCTCCTTGCTTGCCACTCCGCATGCATCAACAATAGGTGATCATCGACGTTGTTTCGAAAAACACGTGCCCTCTCCTCGTGGGCTTTGAGACGACCGATCGCCTCCTCGAGTGTCATGTCGTCGATGTTCCCGAACTGTTCAATCGTGGAGACGATAGTAAGGAATCTCTCCGGCACCGCCCGAAGAAGCTTTCTGACGACGTAGTTCTCCTCCATCTCGCCGCCTAAAGCCCGGATCTTGTTGACGACTCCTGTCAACTTCGTTGAAAAATCGTCGACGTTGTCATTCTCCTTCATCCGGAGAAGTTCGAACTCGGACTTCAAGGTCTACACCTTCGCGTTCCTCACACGATCCGCTCCTAGATGCATTGTTTTCAACGTCTCCCATGCCTCTTTTGCCGTTTGCTTCTCTGCGATTACCATCAAAGTCTCTTCAGGAATCCCCTGTTAGATGGCCGCCAACGCCATCTGATCCTTCCTGTGTTCCACGGACGCGCCTGCCGCAGGCTTAATGGCATCCCACACGTCTTGAGCCTTCATGTAGACTTTCATCTTGATTGCCCACGAAGCATAGTTGTCCCTCGATAACGTCGGGTATTGAAGAGTGAGAGAACCCACATTGGTCGTCATCTTCTCCGAACTCGTCATCGCTTCAGATCTTGGTTGAATCTTAGGCATACACGGCTCTGATACCACTTGTTGGTTTCTAAACAGGATCGGCCAGAGATCAGATCTGAACTGAGTTAGAAAAACAGCAATCTACAAACCTGTAAACAGCAGCAAAACAGAGACCTGGCAGATTTTCAGAAAACGGACAGCAGCAGCAAGACAGAGAACTCAGGCTATGTTTCGGATGGAGCAGGGAACTTTTTGATTTTTTTCACGTTCTCTTAAACTCATCAAAGTTGTTTACATATATATAAAGACATAGGGATAAGATTACAACTCTAATCTTTATCCAATAACTAGAAAAACTATCCACTAACTAGTATTCTACCTCTAAAGACATAGGGATAAGATTACAACTCTAATCTTTATCCAATAACTAGAAAAAACTATCCACTAACTAGTATTCTATTCTAACTAGAATTCTATCTACTAACTTGAACTCAACTAACAATCCGGACTGATTAACAACTCACATTGATTTCTTAACAAATGTTGTCTACTATGGTGGTGTGGATGATAATACCAAAAATTCTCTTCACAATCTGCTGGGATTCTCTACTGGTTCATTGCCTATCAGGTATCTAGGGGTTCCTCTGACATCTAAGAGATTATCTTTCATGGACTACAATTCTTTGTTTTCAAGGATCACTAGTCAGTTTCAGAATTGGTTAAAACATAGAAATCTTTCCTATGCTGGAAGGATGCAGATTATCAAAAGTGTTATCCTTGGAGTCCAAATATTTTGGACTTCAAACTACATTCTGCCTGTCAGAGTTCTTAAGAGAATAGATGAGCTTTGCAGAAGATTTCTATGGGGTAAATCTGATCAATCTTTTAAAACCTCCCTTGTCTCGTGGGAAAGGGTGTGCTTAAGTAAGGATCAAGGGGGTCTGGGGATTTTTTCTGCCCTCAACTGGAATATTGCTTCAGCCATCAAATGCATCTGGAACATTCACATCAACAAAGAATCCCTATGGATTAAATGGATTCATGAAAATTACTTAAAACATTCAGATATTTGGCAAGTGGTTGCTAAGCCTGGTGATTCCTGGATGTGGAAACAGTTGATTAGAACAAGAGATAAAGCTATGGCTATGTGTGGTGGTGAGAATAATCTGAAGTTGCTGATCAGTTCCTGCTTTCCTATCATTGGCATCATATTCTAGAGCAGTTCACTGTCAGACAGAGAAGGAAAGGGCTTAAGCAGCAACTCAAGAATTTGGCACTGACAGCAACTATTTATTACATTTGGAGAGAACGCAATGTTAGAATCTTCCAACAAAGATGCAGGAGCACATCGCAGCTGGTTAGAGAAATCAAAACTGATGTATGGATCACCATACTCAACAATCCATTAGCTAGATAAATCTGAAAATGTGATTTCCTTAGTGTGGTCGCATTTTCTGTTTTTTGAGATGTTCAGTTGATTGAATTTGTAAGCTTAGAGTCTATCTGAGCTATTGCTGTACTTATCATTCATATTTGGTTATGAATAAAAATTTTCATTGACCAAAAAAAAAATGTTGTCTACTTTTAATACAAATCTGATATTTTAGCTATTTTGGTTTTTCACATTTACTGATAGTCCTACGTTAAATCATTTTACGTTTTACTTTTTTTCAGCTATGATATGTTTGTAAAGGGACTTCATTACGTTTTACCTTTGTGTCTGCATAAGTACTCTTTTACAAATTAAAGACCACAATGTCATTGTTAAAGCCAATTCCTAGTGTTCTCAGAATGTTTCTTCTAGAATGTAGGCAACATAAAAGAGTTTTATTCCACAAATGTATAATTGAACCACCCGAACCAACACTTTTCCTTTTATTTCCAACATATATAGAAAAAGAAAAGGTGAAACAATAGAATATTCTTTGTATGTTACTTACATATATCAAGAACATATCAAGAAAATAAATTTGAAGGGCCACAATTAAAAGAACCAAAACCAACCTCAATTAAGAGACTCATATGCAAGCTACAAGCATTGCCTATGTAGTTGTCAGGACACTTTTATTACACAATTAATAATAATATTCATAATAGTAATAATATTACCCAAATCATGTTATTAATCATGCACCACCCAATATCATTCAAGCCAAAGGGAAGAAGAAAACCAAGAAAAACCTCTCAATTAGCAAAAGCCACACAAGGAGAAGGATGAGGAATACTTTCATCATCGACACCACCCTCATTATTAGAGCACCATGCATCTTCGGTGATGAACTGCATCCATGCATCATCCTTGTCATCCTCATCGATGCATGGTGATGATCCTATGGGTACCTCTGGCGACATGGTCTCATACTGATCGCTGACGATTGTTTGAGGGCTCTCGATCAGTACTATGCTACTGCATTGTCCTTGGTCCTCCACTTCTGCGCACACCACATTTTTCTTAAAAACTCTACAAAGTGCATATGAGTCCTGCGCAGATAAAACCATTAGCAACATGAAATAAACCCCTTTTAATTTTAATTTTTTTATTTATAGAGTTATGAGTGAGTTTAATTGCGGATAGATCCCTTGGACTATTGCCAATTGTGGATAGACCCTTGGACTATTGTGAATTGTAGATTGACCCTTGTAGTTCCATCGTTGCAGACAGACCCTTCAGGGAAATTTTTTGACTATTTTATGTGGTCTTCCTCTAAAGGTAAAAGAGTCAAAAATTTTCAATCAGCTAGGGTTCTATTTATAACAATAGAACTATAAGGCGTCTAAACTGGGTTGTAATACATAGTATTTACTCACAATTAAGTAACAGGGAGGAATTTGATTGCAATATGAAATTATACAAGAAGACCAGAGTAATAAATTGACTAATCTTAAGGAGATTAATCACTATATAAACTTTGTGAGAAAATAATCATTATACTAATATGTATTGGTCTTCCTCTTGAGAGTTTTGTTGTTTTACAAGGTACCTACATTACTACATGAATCAGACAATTAAGAATAAAAAGACTTAACAGAATAAATATTGCTTTGATGGCATAACATCAGATATTTAATATCATTTCCCCCTGGTTTTTAATATGTTTAATTTTTTTAATAAATGTTATATAGTGATCAGGGGTTTAAACATGGAATCTTCCATAATCAAATCTCCTGCTTTACAACTGAAGTAGACTTCATTATCACTATTCATATCTTTAGGGCACCTAAATTAATCCTATAATAAATCTAGGGCAAAGGTAAAATTCTTTTGGAAATAGCTTATAATATATGATTATCAAATTATCTTTTTTAGTAACTTATATAGGTTACTTTTATAAGCTGATTATATAAACAACTTATCTTGAGCTCTAACAATATCGAACTGACCCATAAAGTTAGCTAATCTATAGACGCTGGTTTAGATCAAATGATCATTCTTATTTGACAATTAAATATTTACCCCGTGATTATTGAATCATAATTTTGTATAACAATTAGTTTCCTTTCTTAGAAAGAGAGTGAGATAGTGAGAATATTAAAACATTCGGAGGGTAGTTTAGGAATAAAGTGAAAGCCATCGACAATGAGGACACCAAGGCAGCTTTACTTAAAGTGTTATAATTAATAACACCTCTAGTGTATCGATGATGGTTGGAATAAGATTTTGGGAGCTTGTTAGAGGAATGATAGATTTGTCTTATATTTAGTATAGAATATTATAGAATAAAAATGAAACAGCCTGGAAGTACTTTAGCAAGGATCAAGGACCGGCGGAGGAAAGGAATGTTATCTAAATTTTTTTTCTGGATAAAAAAGTAATTTAATAAAGATGAAAGCCCTAACTTTTCATGCACGTCATGCATAACTCTTACGTAGAAGAATCTCTTTTTCCCACTACTCTCTGAGCGTACGTGTCGCTCTTACGCACAATGCACACACGATAAGGCTAGTTTCTTTGATTAGGTTCATGGACTGAGCATGGATCGTTGTGCAAATGTATTGAAAGAATATTGAGGGGCCATCATATTTATTTTAAATTAAGCACATGTAAATATATTATCGGAAATCTCTTAGTTTTGATTCAACCTTAATGATAATTAGGTCACTTCCCAAATAACTAGTAGGTTTGTAAATATTCAAAAACTGTCTTGAACTATATATTAGGTTTTTGAACAAAATTATATATCATAAACTATTTTATTAAATATATAGAAACCCAGCAAACTTTCGAATACCCAAACTATCAACAAGTAGTATGATAATTCTATGATATTAGTTGAAAATTTGAGATAGCTAATTATCTGATAATAACGTAAAGTTCATGGTAACTTAGTGAAAATTCATGGTAGCTTTGTAAAAAAACATAGATAAAACTTCATGGTATAATTAATTAAGTTCATTGTGTGTTTTGATAGTATTCGAGATTTTTTTTTTTCCTTATGGAATTTTTATACAGAACCCCTAATGTATATGTCATGATGGTTTTAAAAAATTTGTCCCGAGTAGATTAATGATGATCATATATCAATAACATCACCTGCATTCCCATTGTGTCTTCACATTCCTTGTCATCCAGACGGTACTCATGCATAACCCAGTCAGTCCTGATTCCTTGAGGTGCTCGGCCTCTGTAGTAGACTAAAGTCTTCTTCATTCCGATAGCTCGGTTCTGAGAACAAACCCTTCGATCTTTTCCCGTCGATTTCCAATATCCTGCTCGAGTTGCCCTATTAGTTCTGAACCCGTTAGGATATTTCCGGTCTCGTGGTCCAAAAAAATACCACTCTGGATCCCTACTTGGCAAGAACGACTTATCTAGTAGGAAATTTACAATGAGAGAATCATGAGTTTTCTTGCATGTGAAGTTTAACAATCGAAAGTATCAGTTTTCAAATGACAAAGAAAACGGAAACAAGAAAATGAGTCTTAATGTGAAATGGCTGGAGTTAGCGATATTTTTGTAAAAGTTGATTCAGGTGGTTTTGAAAAAAAAAAAATTAGAAAGATTTCTAGCATGTCATAATGCAAGAGACCGCAACGAAACTTGATATTTGGATAAATTATTAAAACATTACAATGTGGTAGGAGAAGCTAGCAGTCGTTATCTATATCCCATGCATAATTGTCTTTATCCAAAGATCATTTTTCCTCCGTTAAATTTACTATTTTTTATTATCTCGATCTTATATAACCATATTTCGTAATGCAAGCAATGATTTATATATGATGCAAATTAATAAGATATATAAGATGAAGAAAACAAATGACTAAATAAAGAAAAATTAACCTGATAATTCCCATGGTTCACATTTGTAGAGGTCGACTTCAGGAATGATGTCGAGCTCAATCTTGAGGCCGTGGATCTTCCTCTTGAGATAGTAATTGACGAGCTCCTCATCGGTCGGATGGAACCTAAAACCTGGAGGAAGACCCACCGGCGCCATCCCCCCTCTCTCTTTGCTCTTGACCTCTTTGCTTTCCTTTTGATCACCATCATGACCGTATATATAAAAGGATTCAAAGAGTCACCCTCTTAATTTTAGTCGTGTTCATTAGCTTTACCTTTTACAGATTCTCAGACAATCTTCAGCGCGCCCATGGACACAAAATTTTGTACGGTCCTCAATTAGACAAACAAGCATTCACTGTGAGATAAATGTCTAATAATTCTAGACACATGATTAATAGTCTAGACAATGAGGGGGCTACAAGCATCTATTTACCTATTAATAGAAATGTAGTATAGTCAAATTATAGTAGTAAAATATAGCATTATAATTAATCAAGTTATTGTTCTAGTCAACCAATCATCTCGTTCTTTTATATTTAATTACTAATTCTCACAAATTTTTTCCTTTCTATAATTTCTAATTTTTTATGACTCAATTTAATTTCCAATGTAAAGAACAACCCATTAACTATGTATGTTCTTTTTACATTTTAATATATTTTAATTTTTAGTGGAATTGAATAAACTATTCGATAACAAAACTAATTTATTGCACCGCATCCTTATTTCTCAGTATACACTATAACTTTTTAATTGTGTTCATAAATCATAGGTGTAAACAAGTAAATGTGTGAAAAAAAAGCCTGAACAACCCAAAATAGCTCGAACCTGGTCTGCTGACCCTGGGAATAGTGTGCATGTTGTACACGACCTGTATTCTGGAGTTGCTGGGATTTCTAGTCAAAAGGGCCTTTCACTAGCTGATATTTCTTGGCCACAAGTTCAGAATTACAGTAATAGAAGAGTTATTCCTTCAGGGAACTTATTTTCTCATCTTACAAATCTGGACCCTGACCCCTCTACTTCTGAAGGAGGGGGAAAAATAAAGCTATGAATTGGTCCTTTTGGAATGTTAGAGGGTTAAATAAATCCTCTAAGCAACATTTGGTTAGGCATCATCTTATGCAATATAAGCTGACTTTTATTGCTCTCTTGGAAACAAAGCTCAAAGCTGTCAAGATCCCAGCTGCTGCTAAAAAAATTGCTGGAAGATGGAATTGGTTCTCTAATGCAAACATCTCTACCAAAGCAAGAATTCTGCTATTATGGGATTCAAATATTCTGGATGTGCAAATAGAAAGCTTTACGGATCAGCATGTTACTTGCAAGGTTAAATCAATTGATGGAAGAGTAGACTGTATGATTTCATCTGTCTATGGGCAAAATAATTTGATGAATAGGAAAGACTTACGGTCTAGCCTCAATCAAATCCACCTGAATATTGGGAATAAACCATGGCTATTGTGTGGGGACTTTAATGCCATCACAAGTGATGAGGAAAAACTTGGGGGAGCTGCCCTTACTGAATCAGACACAATGGATTTTAGAGATTTCATTGAAGAATGTCAACTAACTCATCTTAAAACTGAAAGCTGTTATTTTACATGGAATAACAAGCAAGACTCAACATCAAGAGTGTGGAGTAGGCTGGACAGGGCCTTAATCAATGACTGCTGGTTGAACATGCACAATTCAAGTCATATTGAATTCCTACTACCAAGCTTCTCTGATCACTCCCCTGGTTTGGTATCCATATATGATGATTGTGTTCAGGGAAAGAAACCATTCAAATTCTTCAAGATGTGGACCAAGCATGAAAATTTTTTGCCTACTGTAACTTCAGTCTGGAACACAAAAATAACAGGATTTGCCATGTTTTCAGTTTATTCAAAGCTCAAGCTTCTGAAAAATGCACTAAAGGAGCTGAACAAAAGGCATTTTAACAACATCAGTGAACAAGTGATAAGATCAAAACAAGCTCTTCAAGATGCACAAAAAATCCTGCAAATTGATCCTCTTAACCAGTCCCTCATTGATCAAGAAAGGAAATGCACAGTCTCTTACAATAAATTACTGGATTGTGAGATCTCCTTCTATCAACAAAAATCCAGAATTTTATGGAGCCTACAAGGTGACAGATGCACAAGCTATTTTCACTCTGTGATTAAATCAAAAAGACACCAAAATAGAGTCATGGTTCTCTACAACAATGCAGGGGAAAAACTTACAGATGGAGAGGAAATAATATTTGAACTTATCTCCTTTTACAAGAGTCTCATGGGTTCAACAACTGACACTGTCAAGCCAGACAAAAAATTATTGGCAATGGCCCTTGTCTAAATGCAACTCAAGCTAAAAATCTGTTAACTCCAGTTAGTAGAGAGGAAATAAGAGATGTTGTTTTCTCTATGTCAGACAATAAAGCCCCAGGTCCTGATGGTTTCAGCATGTCTTTCTTTAAATCAGCATGGGGAATTATTGGAGATGAAGTCTCTGTTGCCATTGAAGACTTTTTCAAAAATGGTAAGTTGTTGGGTGAGATTAACTCCACATCCATCACCTTAATCCCTAAAGTTCAGTGTCCTAGAATGCCATCAGACTTTAGACCTATAGCATGCTGCAATTGTCTATACAAGTTCATTTCAAAAATCCTAACAAATAGGATCAAATCAGTGATGGGATCACTAGTAAATGAAGCACAAAGTGCTTTTGTTAAAGGGAGGCAAATAACTAGTAATGTTATCCTTGCACATGAGCTTGTCAAAAATTACAACAGGAAACTTATCTCTCCAAGAGTTATGCTTAATATTGATATCAAGAAAGCTTTTGACACAATCAACTGGGATTTTCTCAAGGAGATGCTATTTGGATTGGGATTTCCTGAAACTATGATAAGCTGGATTATGGCCTGCATTACCTCTCCTAAATACTCTATTGCATTAAATGGATCTTTACATGGCTATTTCAAAGGCAAAAGAGGACTGAGGCAGGGAGACCCCCTCTCACCTTATCTCTTTATCCTTGGAATGGAATACCTCTCAAGAAGCTTAAATATGTTAAAGGATGACAAGAAATTCAAATTCCACCCAAGATGTGGCAAATTTAGTATCACCCACTTGATTTTTGCAGATGATCTCCTCTTATTTGCAAAAGGTGACCTGTATTCTGTGAATAAAATGCAGCAATGTTTCAGGGACTTCAGTTCAGTGTCAGGCCTTGAAGCAAACTCAAATAAATGCTTGATATTTTTTGGAGGAGTTGATGATTCAACCAAGACATCCATTATTAATAGTCTGGGATATCCAGAAGGAGTTATGCCTATTAGGTACCTGGGTGTACCTCTCATCTCCAAAAGATTATCATGCTTGGAGTGTGCACCTTTGTTAAACAAAATCAAAGATCAATTTCAGTCCTGTGCAAATCACAGACATTTATCATATGTTGGGAGACTTCAGCTAATAAAAAACACAATTCTAGGAGTTCAAGTCTTTTGGACATCCAACTACATCTTACCTGCAGGAGTACTTCAGAGAATTGATGTTCTATGTAGAAACTTTCTGTGGGGGAAACAGGATCATCATGTCAAAGCTAACTCTTTGGTTTCATGGGACAAAGTGTGTTTGGGGAAAAAATATGGAGGTCTGGGAATATATTCAGCTTCCATTTGGAACTATGCTTCAGGTCTGAAAATTTTGTGGAATATTCATATCAGGAAAGAAAGCCTTTGGATGAAATGGATACATGGCACCTACCTTAAAAACAGAGATATCTGGCTTGTTCAAGCTAAGAGTGGAGACTCATGGATGTGGAAACAGATCTTAAGAATTAGGGACAAGGCTTTGTTCTCCAATGGAGGGGTTGATAACCTGATGAAAATGATTAACTCCTGTGTTAGTAACTCAAAAATTCAGATGTCAGTTCTCTACCATGCTCTCTCCCCTGCAACAAATTCTGTACCTATACTATGGTATAACACAATCTGGGAAGGAATTTGCCATCCAAAGCATTCCTTTATAAGCTGGCTAGCTGTGCAAAATAGAATGCAAACTCAAGATAGACTTCTCAAAAGAGGGATAATAACCAGTAACACCTGCTGTTTATGTGCAAGAGATGAGGAGAATAGAGATCACTTGTTCTTTGATTATTACTACTCAAGTGAAGTCTGGTTGCTTGTGATGGATTGGCTGAAATTTACATGGAGGTCTTGCGTGTGGAATCATATTATGGACTGGTATTGCTACAAGTTGAGAGGTAAGGGGTACAGGCAAAAAATCAAACGGATGGCTCTCTTCTCAACTCTATATTATGTATGGATTGAGAGAAATAACAGAATCTTCAAGAACAAATTCAGAAATGTTAACCAGGTGTTCAGGGAAATAAAGATCAGTATGCTATACATAGTCCTCAATAGTGCAAATTTAGTTGACAGTAGAGATTGGATACTATCATTATAGTTGTAAATAAATAGACTATGAAGTTGTAATCACATATTATGAGTATCTTGATGTACAATCATTTCATATTTGGTAAATGAATAAAGTTTTTTTTCATTGACCAAAAAAAAAGTAAATGTGTGAAAATATGGGGTTTAGTGTTTAGGTGTATTTGACTCGATTGTTGGAAATTTAAATGGGCTTTTACTTTCCAATATGTTAGTTCAATTTGTTACTAATTTCTTTGATGTTTCTAGATAGCTTGGGACTTGCGGTGCAATTTTAAATATTATAGGGCGGCAGATTGTAAACATCAAGAGGCTTTGTATGTAATTTGTAAAATTTCCCCAATGTTGTAAGTAATTCCACCCTCGGTTATAGTGGAACTCTAAATCCACAAATAATATATCTTTACTCAGTGAATCCCATAAGATATATTCTTCATCTAAATTCTATTAATAAAAAACTTATAATTGTGAGGCACATTGAAACCAACACACCCACGTAACTCTAAATTCTATTAATATATGCATGTCAAATATATTATTGGGGTCTAATTAGTGGTGGAGTACTTGTCATGATCAGCTTCTCATATATATACATTATATATCTAACAGGGACTAGGTACAGAGTAATTACTTTCTTCAGGGAGACTAACTTAAAGTTTCTCAATAACAAAGCTGCTGAAAAGTTTGATCACCGTTCTAAAATTCTGCGTTGGATAGTTTGAACTTTGACTTTTTTTTCATTGAAATTGATTGAGTAAATTTTCATGAAATTACGGTAATTACCATAAAAAACTGATAGAGTTTGGCACAAAACTTTCAGATACGTAGTATTTTTATTTTAGATACTATTTTTATTAGAGAAATTACCACAAAGTTTTAAATTCGTCAAAAACATTATACACCACTAAATTGCTTGACTATGTTAATTACATTGTTAAAAAGTCTAAAACACTCATATTTAAGGAAGGAAGAAGAGAGTGAGAGAATAGTTATATAAAGTAAATTAGGAAAGTAACAAAAAAAAAAATTTTTACATGCCTATCACGAGTCCATGTACACTAACGCTTAACAACTGTAGGCATCGAAAATTGCCTATAGGTCTTCACGAACAGCTCAGTGTTAAGAAAAGACGATGAACGTCACTATCCAGTTTACAGAAGCTTGATTGACGTCGACAAACGCTTGAAGTGAATCGACGAACTACGTGAAGCATTGGAGTTCCAGAATAACAAGGATACGAATCAATCCAGAGCCCCGCGTCGCCTACAAAAGGCGCTACGCCCCTCGTGTCCCAGTTGATTCCACAGATGATCTAATCATTGGAGCTTATAGAACTCTTCGTCAGCTTTCCAACGGACTTGGAATCACTCAAATCCGAGTTCGGACGAAGAATTTACAGCGGAAGCAGACAAATAGGCACAACGGTGTGTCTCGGACCAACGAGACACCCTAAGGTGTCTCGGCCCAGGCCGAGACACCCTGGGGTGTCTCCAACGCAGAAAAGGCCCGTTATGCGGTTTTAACCGCCCGAAACCTCCTGGAGCCTATAAATACAGCCCCGGGTCCTCACTTTTTTCAGATCTGAAATTTTGGAAGATTAGGCGAAGCCCTGCCGGATTGAAGACTGAAGGTGCACGGATTTCAGAGAGGAGGAGGAGAGATCGGATCGAGTTCTTCAACGCAAGAGAGAGAGATTCGTCAGATCTACAGTTTCCCGGATCCGTTCCTTAGGATTATCCCGTTGCGGTAATCTTAAGAAGAGTGATTATCTCGCTTCGCCGAGATAAGAGCTACGGTTTTCTCGATCCCTTCGCAGATAGACGAAGCTCTGCCCAATTTTTCAGCAATCAGATCTGATCGACGGTGATCCACGGATAAACCCCGACACAGGCAAAGATCCCACGCAAGCAGAAGACCGATAAACGATCTCTGCGTTTGTTTGATAAAGTTGTAAACTTTCTATTTTCATTGTGTAAGGAGATCTTATAAAAAGATCAACTTTTTATTCGAGTTTATTATAATGACTAAAGTTGTAATAGATTGGTGCAGGAAGCCTCCTCCTCCCAGGAAGATCCGCTGGTCTTCAGGTCTGAAGACCCAAGAAGACGATCTCTCCGCCGTCGCTGTTGTAGTTACACCTCGCAACGATCCGCCGGCTTCCAAAGAAACCAGATCCAACGTTCGTGACAACTCCTCGAAAGTCAAGGAGTTGCCCGTTGAAAGTGCACCAGTGTTGACGAAGAGGGCTTGTCAAAGGCGCCGTCAACGTCTCGCGTGTCAATTTGCCGAGGCTTTGAAGCCTGTTGACAGGATCTACTATGATGCGGATCTGAAGCTCAGAAGGCGCAAAGCGTCCCAGCAACAATCTTTGGGAACCTCCTCCCAACCACCTACTAATGAATGGGTTCGTGTCAAACGAAACCGTTCAACTCTTGAGGAGCGCATCCATAAGCGCCGCGCACTGCTAGCGCAGACGAGGATCCTTGTACGGAATGCACAGGAGTTACAGAAAGGAAAGGTGGTCAAAAAGCCACCAAGATCTAAGCAAGGTTGGATGCCAAAGGCCAGATTAGCGCCTAAGGCAAAAGCATCCGAGGCTGCTCTCCGGCCTTTGTCAACTCCAGATCCCGTTCCTATTGCTCTCTCACCTCCGACGAAGCCCTATGACAGCGTGGATCTCCCCAAATCTAGAGTCCCGTTGAAGGATTGCATCGGTGCTCTACTCGAGGATCGAGGCAAAGCGCCTATTAAGGAAAGCTTGAGACCGTTGAAGGAACTTCGAGCAAACATCCAGACTGGGGGTCATACGCAACCTCCTAATGAATTAATTTCTATAACGGCCCGCTTGGGGGTGTGTACAAAAAACCAGGAGCCCGTTAAGGTTTCACCCTCACAAGGG